AAACTAATAAATTGAAACTAAAATTAAACAGTAAATTTATTTTATAAAACTCGCTTAACTACTAGACCTAAGATTATGATGTCCCTCAATACTTCATCTGATTATTATTTCTCACTCATAATTTATTTTAATAGATTAAGTTGTTAACTTAGAGTCTTTAATTATTTACAAGTCTTTGTCGAGTTTCTCATAAAAATATCTTTCCTAATTAATTTACTATATGCCTATACAAATTAAATTAAAGACAGTTCATTAAGTTCATGCTCCAATCTTGGCTACATATAGCTTATAGGTGTATGTCTATCCTATATGCAAATCAAATCACCTAATCTACTAAGTGCAGTCAATCATACGCTATTCTATTCAAGGTCTATCTAAATCTCCTTCATCAAGGTTTAACTTAGGGTTTCAATTCAATCTAAATGGTGCTTAAGCAATCAGAAGCATTAAGAATAGAAAAAAATAAACAATTTAAATCCATCAAATATAAGTAAAAGAGAGATATATAAATCAAACTATGTATTAAGTTCAATAGTCATTTTAGATAAATAAATTAGTTCCTTATCAAGTCACACATCATCATTAAATTAAATTTAAACATTCAAATCAAACTAAGAAAATAGGAGAATAACAAAAGGATGATGGAACCCAAGATTTTATAATCTTGATCTTTCAAATCTTCTTGAATCCTTCCAAATTCTTCTCAACTTAAATGACTTTACGACTTGATTCTCAATTGTCAATCTGGTGTTTAGCTCTCCCTTTTTAAAAGTCTTCCGAAAGATTGTTTTTATAAAACTTTAAAGTTAGGCCAAGTTGGGTGAAAAAGAAGTTAATTCCAATTAGGATTTCCATATCAGACTATGTGAGCCACGGCCTCGACCCCAATTAATTAGCAGAAATCATAATTGTTCTAGGACTGCTACAGAGCTTCAACTTCAACATGATTTTTGACCATTTTCCAAGCTAAACTTAGAAAATTGATTACATGAAAGTTGTATCTTTTTCTCTTTTCTTTATAATGGTTCAAGAATTATCTCATTTGGAGCTTTATAGAGAGAGTTATGGTCAATATACCAAAACATGTGCAATGAAGGTCTGCACCTTGAAATTGCTTTCCTTCTTCCATTAAAATTCTTCCTTTATTAAACACCTACAAAAGCATAAATAAATTAATAACAAC